CATTTGGCCCGAGCCACCCCTATTCTACACCCCGAGGCGATTATTATGATCAATATTCGGCTTATGACGAGACGCCTATCTACTATCTTCCATCTCCCGGTTCTTATGATGCTATGCCTCCACCCGAGCCGACTCGGGCCCCTCCAACCGAATTAGAAAAGATCGTGGCAAAATTGGAGGAGGACGCTCAATCCCTTCGTGCTTCATTGGCCTCCCTATCCGAAAAAGAAGAAACCGAGTCCATCACTTCTCCCTCTCCGGTATTTGAGCACCCATCGGTTGGCCAACCTCGTTCATCTAGTCTTGGAGCTTCATTTCATTCTGAGGTTGGGCCGATCGATTGTCACCAAGAAGTTTTTGCGAGAACTCAAGACGCACTCGCGAGCCTCGCGTCGATCATCGAGGAGTTCAATAGTTGGAGGTGCATCCCGATTCCATCCACTCTCCTTTCTACACTTGAGAAGTTCGACCCCACCGTGGTGTCTTTCCTCGACTTGGATTCATCTTCTATTCCGCTCGGTAGATATTCTACTCTATCGGCGGAGATTATTCGAGAGAGCACTCGATTAGAGAGCGAATTTCGGGTTATGGTGGATCGTTGTGCCTCCTTGAAAGAGGTGGGCCTCACTCCCGTGTACAATGGGACTCAACCTCTAGATATGAGTGAGGACACCGATGAGCTTATTGTCGAAGAACTTCCTCCTTGTGATGACGTGGACTTGGATTCTACACTAGGTACGTCAAAATTTTCTTCCGTTGATGGTGCTTCGGGTCTTGATTTAATTGTTGAGGAAGAGAGTATGGGTTCGGAAAGTGATGTTGAGGATGGATTGGAAGATAATTTAATTGAGGGCTTGAGTGAGCCGAGGGGTGATGAAGGTGTTGGCGATGATGAGGAGGAGGATGATGATGGTAGTGAGAAGGAATCCGAGCACTTAGATGATGTTATTGAGACGGATGTGCCGTGTGTGGATGAGATGCCTTGGGATGTTGAGGATAAGGTGGTGCCCATGTCCTTTGGGGCGTCATTTCGTGTTATCGAGGATTGTGACAAAGGGGAGGAGTTCACACCCGTGCTCCCGATGATTGAGGATGTTAACTACACGTCCGAGAT